ATGGCACAGGATAGAGCAGGGTTTAGGGCTGTTGTACATAGGGTCGCTATGAGTCGCAAATGACTCAACGGCACAGAACAACAACAACAACAAGAACATATTGTTATCTGCATTTAAATACAGGAATTTTTTGGTTCAGATCATTTTTAAGAGCATTTTAAAAGGAGTAAATATGGTAGCCAAGTGTGGACTCCCGAGTTTACAGCTGATGCCCATTTAAACCTAGCCACAGATGGCTGTGGATGAGTTGACCAGAAACCAACCAGATGAAGAAAAAACTGTGAAACTAGGGTTAACTGCTGCAACCTGATGGCTTGCTCTGGACTAGACTTTGTGGATTCAGATGCTCAAAGTTTCCAAGTTGAGAAGAGAATCCATCAGCAAAAAGGACATGCTTGTTTGCTCAGAGTACTGCTTGGATAGGGATGAGGAATTGAGCAATTGACTATCAAAAAAGTGTGGTATTTGGACATGAGGCATGAAGTGGCAGGCTTACATACTTTCACAGCTGTAGTTGTTGGTGAGATGATTTTAAGAGAGGGGGAACCCACAATATAAATGAATAAAATATAATGTAAACGAAGGACTATAAGGAACACAATATACACACGTGAAACACAAAGTACATGAATAATAAAAATATGTGCAGCTGAAAGTAAAAATAAATGAGAATTGTAGAAGGGAAAGTAATGGAAATTATCATATGTTAACCAGCTATAGACTTGGGAGAGTTTACAGCTAATGAGTAAAGATCAAAGCCTGACTTTCCTTTCCAGGTCTAAATCCCGGAGAAGTTTAAAATGAAGATCAGGAAGTCAAGAAGACACAAGATATGTATTGAAAACAATTTTAAATAAAGGTAAGTAATTATTAATCCATCTCTTCCTGCTAAAAAACTTCTTTCTGATTTTGTTTGCATGGTTGCTTTCCTTAAATGTTACTCTCAAATAAGGTCATAGACTTCAGCTATTGTGTGGGTGTTTTGGGTTGGTTTTTTTTTCCCAAAACTTACCTTTATAAAAGCATATCCAGTGCCATTGTCTGTAATGATGAGACCAAGTGAATCTTCAGATTTATACACATTCACTTCTTTTTCAATTCCTTTCACATGGGCAAAGATGAAATCTTCAAGGCCTAGTTGTACTCCTAAGAGTTTTTCCATGTCTATTTTCGGTGTATTCAAAGTACAGTATAAAATCTGCAAAGGGGGGAACGGAAAGATGTTATAGGTTCATCAGGAAAACAGTCTAGTCATTAATTTAGTTTTAAAAACATTTCTTTTCTGTCTATATTTATTGGCTGAAACAGTCTCCAGTCTGTGATTTAACTAGTTACATCACAAAATGGGTTTGCATGTTGGTGAGGAAGAATTTGAGGCACATTTTCTTTTGATATTATTAGGTAACATGGACTGGGAAGCTCTGGTAACACAGCAAGGATGTAACTCCTAACAGGAGGATGCTGCCCATTTTTCTCCCTTGGAATAGCTAGTGGATTAAAATTGTGGGAGGCACTTGGTCTTTGTGTAAACAGTACTTATGGACTGCTCCACCAGAGCCTTGGGAACTTGATGGCACAGTTCTACTGTGTCCTGTAGTGTTGCTATGAGTTGGGATGGATTCAATAGCAATGTGTAATATGTACGGTTTCCTACAGGGCAGCCTTCATGCTAAATATTACATACACACACACACACACACACACACACACACTTTGGACATGTTGTAAGGAGGGACCGGTCCTTCGAGAGGGACATCATGCTTGGGAGGGTGGAGGGACAGCGCAGGAGGGAAAGACCCTCTACGGGGTGGATTGATTCAGTGACTGGGGTAAT